TTAATTTACGCTTTGAAATATTTGCCCAGCACAACCAGAATTTTCAAAGGCATGGATGGAAAATTCATAATAAAAATTCAATTTGACTTGTGATAATTTTAATAGTGATAACAAAATTTCCAAACAAAATTAAAAAAAGTATATAAATATTTAAAAAACTAAAATCAAAAACTAAAAATATTATAAAAACTTCGTTGAAAATAAAATTATTTATCAGATCAAAAGAATCAGATATAAATATGTGGAAGATGTAAGGACATGAAAATATGTTTGGTGCTGGCTCACGCATGGAATAAATACACTATCCATCACATCAAGCAGATAACATTGCAGGCAAATTTTTACAAAGAAGCGTTCAATTAAAAAACAACGTTTGAACTTTTTAAGCAAATGTGCAATATTTTAACTCAAACTTGTCAACACAAACAGCATTTAATTAATTGAAATCACACAAATATAAACCTTGAGAAGAACCAATGAGAGCAGTTAGTGAGATCGTATTGACCAATAGAATTGTTAGTTTTATACGTCCAAACCAATCACGAAGCATCATTGCCGCCATGTCATATTTTGCTGTCTAAGTTTTCAAAAAAACTCTGTTAACTTGACGTTAGCAGGTATCAAATAAACTTTCTTCCCGGGGTTTATGTAGAATTTTCTTTTCCTCGATAAATTACATCAAATTATTTCGCTTCAATTCAACCAACGCATCGCCATCAACAATCAACTACAGATCAAAATGCTGAACGTCAGGTGAACAACAACAACTTTCGATGAAGCAAAACTGCCTACCTACGCCCAAACAACTAGCCTCCAATTCTAAAACTCTACAATATTCATGTATATATATATATATATATATATACTATTTACATATATATATATATTTATATATATATATTTATATATATATATACTATTTGCGTGCATATTTTTACTATATTGTTTTAATATATATATATATACACACTTATATCCTATATGATAGGGAATTTTTATATCTGATGCATACCATATATAAAGACGAGACAAAGATATATAAATAACGTTTTATTATGACGCATTGTGAGCACCCGATGTATGTAACAAAATTTTTACATCATGTGCTCGACCGCAGGTCTTAATTCGTCGGGTATCGCATCATTAATTTAAAAATTCAGTTTCATAGAAACACCTAAAAATTGTTTGGAATTATTTTTGCATATATTCTTTGTAGTTTTAGTGTTGCTCGTCTCGTGATGGATGTATAATTTTATTCATTATATCAAATTCAAACTATGTCACTATCCATTGGTTGGAAATGAATTCTGATTTAATTTTTCATAGTTTTATATAGATATAAGCTCCAACAGTTGTACTTGAGTTGTCAAATTCAAAATTATTTCGAACACAACAACCCAGCTGAGAATTCACTTCCATCTTTAAACTAATCAAATCATGTCTGGTTTTCAAGTTGCAATGAAAATTAAACTCATGTTATTATTTTTCATATTTGAAATTTCACTTTAAAACCATCATCATCACCATCTTTGCCATACCGCTTTGTAAAGAAGAAAAAAAATGGCACAATGGCTAATTAATATTTTTGTGTCGGTAGGTAGTGTTAGTGTGTGCTGTGCTAACGCTATCTACCGACACCAGTTGTTCTTCTATTTGATTTATTTCACATTATCATTCTTAAATTACTCTTTAATAACATTCTGTGATGCGTGATCGCAATAAATATTTCACCATTTAACTATCCCGGGTCTAAAATTAACATCTAATACAGGAACTGCTGATTGTTTCTTATAATGTAATGTTGACTGACGCAGTAGTGTAGGAAATATTGTTACTAAAGACTAACATCAAATCCATCAAATTATGTCAACTTTATAATGATTTTATTAAAAGCATTCAAGTGTTAAGTTTTAAAAAAATATTTGAAATATTGTTCTGACAAGAAAAACGACCACGTTTTAAACATCGATCAGAAGCCACTCAGATTAAAATAAAAATAGCAAAGCAGTAAGCTAACAAATGAGATCTTTGTCCAAAGTTCAGAGGAATCAATAACACAAAAAGAGCTATCTGAATAGGTGCTAAACGACGCATCATACACGAAGCATGTGACAGGCGGGAACTCTATCACTGCAAGCAAAACGTAATTCATCTTTTAAATTAGTTGGGCTACTAAGAATGTGTACAGCCGAATGCCTTTCGTTGGCCCGGTAACACACTGTATCAGCAAATAGACGGTGTAGCAATGGGCTCTCCATTGGGAATACTCTTCGCAAACTTCTATGTTGGACATATCAAAGAAATGTTATTTAAAGAAGAACCAGAGCTAAAACCTAATATATACTGACGATATATTTGTTACATATGACGATGATGATCAAACAGCATGACTTCTACAACGACTAAACTCGTCAAAATTAAAGTTTACAATGGGAAAATCAACTGACAATAAACTACCATTCCTAGACGTACCAACACAAAATGTGCAAAATGAATTTAAAACCTCAGTATACACCAAAGCAACAAACAAAGTTTATTAATTTGTTAATAATTATTAATTAACTTATTAATAATGGATATAAAAATTCCACAATCCAGAAAATAATAGAACGCAAAGAACAAAAAAGCAGCAACAACAGCAATGCAACCAACAATAGTAACAAAAATAACATAGTAATATATTATAAGAATCAAATGTCAACCGATTTCGAACAGGATGAAAAAGTTATGGGAAGAATCATGAAAAAATAACGTCCAAGCAACCAACGAAAACGATAGTAATAAACTACGAATACACTACTCCAACCAAAGAACTTCATCTCTTGTAATGAAAAACAAATGAACTAGTAAACCAGAATTGATAATGGATCATAGCCATCTAATATATTTGTTCAAATGTAATATTGGTGAGTGTGGTCACCATAGTTCATACACGGTCGTATACACAGTTTTTAAGAAATATCACCGCATTATCCGCATTGTTGAGTTTGTAACTAAAATACTACAAATACCGGTGAACTACATATAACAAAATCACAAACTCTAGTACACTGATGATGGTAAAGGTTACCGAGAAAAGCTTTTATGTAGACCTATACATGAAAAATAGAGTCTAAAATAATTAGAAATTTTATTATAAATTTGAATAATATTGATAAAATAATTGTTCGAAAAATTGATAAACTAAGTTACAAACCGGGCATCGAACCAGCCAGAACTGAACCGTAACAGAAAACCGTTAAAAACCGAAATTTTGCTCAGAACAAAAACCGTAACCGAAACGAAATATTGTTTGCTAGTTTAACCGAAACCGAAAACCGTAACGAAATAAATAGCGGTTCCAAGCTAAAAATTTAAAAGAAAATGTTTTTGTCACATTTAGAAAAAAAATATTTCGATAATATTTTTTCTTTTAAAATTCTATGTTAATTTTTATTATCTTCGAAAATTAGTTATCTCTCTTTTTGTTTGTTTTTCCGACTGAGTTCGCCGATAATTTGAGTAAGAATTGCCACGTGAAGAGAAATCCAGTATAATCAGAGAAATTAAAGATCAAGTGGGATCATCTTCAAAATTTTGAAGTACCAGCTACACGAGTGAGTCTGGAAGCATCTGTTTCTGGATTTTTATCATCAGAGACTGCAGAAAGGGTTTCAATGAAAACATTTTAGAAGATATATTAATAATCAGAAGAAATTTTCATCTTTTTTGAAACAATCTTTATTTATATTAGTGATTTCAAAATATCTTTGTAATGATTGTTTTAATTTGTTGAAAAAAAAATATTAGAAACGTTTCCTTTTATACTGACAACATTTAAAAATCATTTTTTTTATTGATTTCTTATTATTCACAATCTAAAATTTGGATGTCTGCATGTCCGTTACATGCGTTTAAAGAACTATGTTTGTAAAAATTAAGTTTCGGAGTGAAACCGAAAACTAAAAAAACCGATATTATTTCAGGAACGAAAACCGAGCCGAAAACGTAAACCAAAACGAAAAAAATTACGGTTTGATGCCCTGGTTACAAACTCAACACTGCGGAAAATGCGGTGATGTTTCTTAATAACTATATATATATATATATATATATATATATAAGGGGTTTCAATATATATATATATATATACACTTGCTTCGGAGGTGTCAACGACAAACACGCACAGCCTACGTGAATACGCGGAAAAACCACGCGTTGCTCACATTGCATAGGATAGGCGGTTATATTTTTGTATTCCAACCCAGTTACTGCAACAAAAAACAAGGCGCTTTCAACCATTGAGCCATAAAGCCACTAGTTGATCACATGTTAACGCGTGCTAAAAACACACACAAATATCACCTGTTAAAGTTATAATCAGACGCTAAAGTTTAAAGTTAAAACCACGTGCTAAAATTAAATAAAAACCACGTGCTAAAGCTAAAACCACAATATAAACCAACCCCTCTAACAGTAAATTATGAATATAAAGCAATAAACACATAAAATTAAACAAATGCCATATACCCTAGGTTTCTTTAACTGGAAGATTAATAATTATTTCGAACTATCTAATGAGGAAAAATTTTAAACTCAAAAGTAGTGGTGTGGTTTCTTGAAGTAATATGCAAATAATATTATTAAATATTTTTATATAAAAAACAGGAAAACTCTTATTTTTATTTTTCTTTATTGAAATATAAAGTCAGTATCATTTACATGAAAGGTCCTAAATATATCGGAAATATAAATAAAAAATATTTGCATCAAAAATGAACATTATTATCATCCTAACTAATACGAATATCGTCATATTCGTCAGCAGCAATGTTACCATCATCGTCATCATTAACACAGTTGTCATACTCTTCGTCTTCATCATCATCGTCGCCATCACCATCACTGTCATTATCATCAATATATCGTTCCAGGTTATTCCCAACGAAATGACTCGTAATTAGGTTTATATCCACAGTATTCCCACATTTATATTCGAATGTTATATCAGCACTCATAATAGCCCGTACTTCCTGCAAACACAATGGGCACACGGGCCTCTTACCAATCCATTCTGCGGCGCATCCCAAATGAAGTGAGTGTCCGCAAGATATCTCCCAAATGTAATCCCCTTCTTCATACTCATCTGTGCAGATTGGGCATGAATCGTTGATGGAGAGCTGTTCCATGTAAGAGTTCTTTAAAATATTTATGTTACAATCTGCCTTAAAGTAGTTGTCGGTATGACGGATGCTGCCTTTAGTATGAGTTCCCTCGTATGGACACTCATAAACCATGTTTTCTCTCGGCAATCTGGAGATAAATAGTTTTTGCATCTCCTTCATGAGTGTACATCTTTTTTCAATGGGCAAATGGCAACATGAACTAGTTATCCTTCTTGATTCGTCGTAATGTTTAATAATTACCTGGCTGCAGGCGAGATCGAGGATGTCTGTAGACACGGCGATAGCGAATTTTTTCATATCTTCAAGACAAAATTCATTATCGGCAAGATGTTCTTTCAAATATATGAAGTTAGTGAAACACATGGCTAGATATTTTTCTTGTAAGAAATTTTTGAAGTACATTTGCGATGCAAGCTTTACATCTGACAAAATGTCATTATATTCAACTGAATGAACCATTTTTTGACGCTAAAGATAAACTAACGTGAAAGCAACTACTGTTAAACACAAAACTTTTTAGTTGTAGAAATGAGCAATAAAACAATGATAAAATAATTTACAGCAATCGTGTGGAGACTGAACAAAAAAGAAACAAATATTAATACAATAATTTTCCGTATGAATTTCAGAATAAAACTTGAAATTTTTGACTCATTTACAATTTTGATAATCTAATGCAGAAGCATTCTTTTATTTAGAGTTAACAACTTATTTAATTTTTACTAAGTCTCAAAAATTTAAGCGTCAATTGTTCATTGTTATCGATTGTCATTTCTTTGCTTTCGTTATTCATATGGTTGAGATCAAGGGGAGGCCTATTTACCAATATACAACATTTTCTTATGGGTTGAAGCAGGGATATGCAAAGAATCTTAATTTTTTCAACTTTTAATTATTTTCGGCAATGTCGATTTTATTTTTTTAAATTTATACCAAATAAAAGTAATTAATTACCATATTGAATAACAATTTAAAAAAATAAAATTGTAATAATTTAAATAAAAGCAATATTCCGTAATAAGTAAATATACGATCGTAACTTTTGACTCGAACGATAAAAAATCCCCCTCCAACTCCCTTCCGGAAGTAAGCTCCTTGTTCGACCGTTGAAAGTGAGCGAAGGCCGTTATATTTATTCTAGTTATACGGTTGAGATCGTAAAAGTTGAGTGTTGAAATAATGTAATTTTGGTTTTTTTCAATTTTTGTTAATTATTTTAACAGTAATTTATCTTTTTCTTAGTATCCTGCGTAGCAAATTTTTCACAGATTTCACCTTTAACAGCTTCATAAACATTTTCCAACAATTTAACAGCACCAGAAATATCTTCGAGTGTGTAAAATTCAGAAACATTATAAATGAAACTTTCTTTGTTCAGCAAATCAAAGTTATTAATTAAGAAGTACAAAACTTCATTAATTACGACAGACATGTTTGTTTACTTTTTGATAACAAGTTGTCTCTAGCGTCATTTCCATTTTATATTTATAAACATAATCGTACGAACAAATGGCGCCGATGTATTCGAATTAATTGAAGATATCAAACCAAAATCAGTGGCTAGTACGATGGTTGTTTTACTAACAAACTATTTAACAATATTGTTTTGACATTTTATTACAAAACTTTTTTCAACATTTTCTTCATTTCACATCTCCATTCAATGGGAGACTTAAAGCTATATTATAATTAAAGTAAATTAATAAAAAAATAAATAAAAGTAAATAGAAAAGTATTAAAATAATAATATCAATAATAATATTTATCATTTAATATAATAAATATAAATATATAATTAATAATGATACGATAAAAACATGTCACACATAACTGAAAAAATCGTAGTATGTACATTCATAGAATTCATGTATAAAACTGTTTGTATTTGTTATAATTGTAATTTGATATTTCTGTTTTAATACTTTTTAGAGTTTTTGAATTTTTTTATTTTTTGGTGCTAAAGATATGTTCATAATTTTTGCTTCTTTTTGAAAAAACTATGGTTTTTATGTTGAAAAATGGGTGAATGGGAAGGAATGGCAAGGAAAGCGTAGAAATGAGTAAAAAAAAGAAAATCAATAGAGTCGCAAATACTTAGAACTCATTACCAAATGAACTTGTAGAGAGACACAATCAATGAACAAATTTAAAGCAGGCATTGATGAACAACAATAAACCAACAAATCAGCTGTGCAAGCATGCCTGATAGCATGTTCTCTGGATAACCTCTAGAACAGTACCACTGCTGCTACTACAACTACTACTACTACTACTACTACTACTACTACTACTACTACTACTACTACTACTTGGCATTAAATGTCAATCTTGGTTACCTCTAGTCCGAATTGGTTAGTCAAGTGTTAATGCGTGTTACAACCACATAATAAATTTCAATTTTTAAGTTAAAATAATGTGCTAAAATTGAATAAAACCACGTGCTAAAGTTAAAACCACAGAGTTTTTACGGAATAAATGAAATAAAAATCGATCAGGCTGCTTTGCAACAGAAAATTACGAAAATAAGGCATTAAAAATGATATAAAAACAAAAAAAGGCCATTTAATCTAAGTTTCTTTAACTGAAAGATTAATAATTATTTCTAACGATTTATTGGAAAAAACTTTGACTCAGAAGTAGCTGTAACATAAATTATATGTAAGTAATAGTAAAATTATAGAAAATATAAACGCAAACTGTTTAAATCAAAAATGAACAAAAATATCGTCCCAACTAATAATGACATCGTCATAATTGTCGTCGCAATATCGGCAATATTATCATCATCGTCATCCCTAACATAATTATTAGCATCATTGACGTCATCATCTTCGCTAAAATCAGCTTCGCTAATGTCAGCTTCGCTAATATCAGTTTCGCTAAGATCATCATCACTGGAATCAGCTTCGTTGAAATCAGATTCGTTGAAATCGTTATCAATAAGTAGTTCTAGATTATTCCCAACGAAATGATCCGTAGTTATGTTTACATCCACAGTATTCCCACCTTTATATTCTAATTTTATAGATGTGCTCATAACAGTCCGCACTTGCTTCAAGCACAACGGGCACACTGGCCTCTTACCAATCCATTCTGCGGCGCATCCAAAATGAAGTGAGTGTCCGCAAGATATCTGGCAAATGTTTCCCCCTTCTTCATACTCTTCTATGCAGATTGGGCATGAATCGTTGATGGAGAGCTGTTCCAAGTAAGAGTTCTTTAAAATATTTATGTTACAATCTGCCTTAAAGTAGTTGTCGGTATGACGGATGCTGCCTTTAGTATGAGTTCCCTCGTATGGACACTCATAAACCATGTTTTCTCTCGGCAATCTGGAGATAAATAGTTTCTGCATCTCCTTCATGAGTGTAGATCTTTTTTCAATGGGTAGATAGCAACATGGACTAGTTACGCTTTTTGGTTCATCATCGTTTTTAATAATTACCTGGCTGCAGGCGAGATTGAGAAGGTCTTCAGACACTGCGGCGGCGAATTCTTTTATATCTTCAAGACAAAATTCATTTTCGGTAAGATGTTCTGTCAAATATGATTCGTAGGTGCAACTCATGGATTGATGTTTTTCTTCTATAAACTTTTTGAAGTACGTGTTTGCTGCAAGCTTAGCATCTGACCAAAAGTAGTCATACTCAGTTGAATGATCCATTCTTTTTGACGTTGATGTTAAGAAGAACGCTCGATTTCTGGACGGGATTTTCTGCGAAATTTTGTGAATTAACGTGGAAGCAACTACTTATATACGAAAGAGCTTTACTAGTTGTACAAATTGGTAGTAAAACATAGATATAACAATTTACAGCTATCTTTTAAAGACCAAAAAAATTAATTAAATCAATTTTTTATATGACTTTCAAAATAAAATTTAAAACTTTGATAAACTAATGCAGCGATCTATCACTTCAGTTTAAATTTAACACTTTATTTCATTTCTGCTAAATCTTAAAACGACAAATTTTTATCCTCGATATACCGATTGCCTTTTTTTTGCTTCTTTCATTCCTACGATGAGGTCGTAAACGTTTAGTGTTGAAATCGGTGCGCATATTTTTGATTTTTAATTATTGATTTTGTTAATTAATTTGGTTTATAATATTTATTGATGACAAATAAATTATAAAATGTGTAACTCTTCAGGTCACTGAAAAGATTGTTCAATTGTTCAATGTTCATCATTTTATCAATTATTTTTATTGATTTATTAAAATATTACATTGAAAATGATGCTTGCACGTGTTTGTGCAACGATGTAAATTTAAAAAAATTATTAAAGTTAAATGTTCCATTCCTCCTGTAGCAAACCTCTTAAATAATATACAATTTGCTAAAAAATTTGCAACGAGAAAAACTTAAATTATTTTCTAAAATTTATTTATTTAAAATTTTCATGCCACGATTATCAACATTTTTCATCGAGTAAAAAAGTTGAAAATGACCCTCTTTTATTATTTCTTCTATTTTTAAAATGGTTGAGTTTAATCTTTTGAAAAACATCAACATAATAACTTAATAACTTAATAACTAATAACTTAATATTCAAATTCACTTCCACTTCATTTCATTTTATAGGGTAAAATTGAGGAAACTGATAAGAAATGTTATTACAATCGACCGGTACATGAACCTACTTTATCAGCGGCGGTTTAGTGTTAAGATGCAATAATTTTATCAATTTTATCACATAAACTGAGGTAATTATGATATGTTAGTTAGTGATAGCAGATACTCGTTCTTCTTTATTTGTCAGAAAAAGTCAATTAAAAGAATGTTTTGGATTTAAACATTTCAAATGCGCTCTCATTTTTAAATGAGAACAATATTGTACATGTGCATGGGGATCTCTTTGCATTCAAACCTGGTTACTACAAAAGCAGTGCCAGGCACTTTAACCATTACACTATAAATATCTCGTTTTTATAATCAAATTATTCAAAACGATTGGATTATACTATTTGTGAAATTGACGACTGCAATGCCTGTAGAAATTGCTCAAGTTTGTTTTGTTTAAATGTTGATAATAACTCTGCTTTTAGAGCGTCGTAATCTGTTCCTCTTTGCATTTATAGTGACAAATTTGAGACTACATCACACGGCAGGGAAATTATTACGTGATTGAATCTTGTTTTTTTACATATCACGTTACGCCAGGGGTGGGCAAACTTTTTTTCGTAAGGGCCACATTGAAAAACGTTTTACTTTTGGAGGGCCGCATCATTATATATATATATATATATTCATTATATATATATATATATATTCATTATATATATATATATGTGTGTGTGTGTTTGTTTTTTAAAGCTATAAATAAATTATTTATGCCAAAAATTACGTTTTTATTTATTTGCAAAAATTGTCAATTACATATATAACAGGTTTTACAGTAAATCTGATATAAAAAATAAGTTTTATTAACAAAAGTTTTTCTAATTAATGGGAAGTATGGAACTGTTCACAATTTTCAACAATGTTCTTGAATTGTGGAGCCAGATCACTTGTCACTATTCTTATTATTGCATTTAGGTTGCAGTCATTTATCATGGACCTATTTTTAGATTTATTTATTTTCATACAAGAGAATGCTTGTTCGCTTATATATGTGGATCCAAATATTGAAAACATTTTTGCAGCAAATCTTTTAAAATTTGGAAATGCTACATCAGACAGAGAGCCATAAAATTCTAACAAAAGACCTGATTTAAACTTTTCTTTCAGTTCACAGTTTGCTTGCATAACCAGCAGTTCCAACTGCAAGTCTTCAGGTATTTCATCAGCTTTTATACAAAATGGTGTTGTGAGAATTGTAAACAAAGGTTCCAGGTTTTTAAAATCTTCAAATCTTCTTTCAATTCCCTAGCTAAATCATGTATTTGTTCTTTGTATTTCTGTGCTACTTCAGCAGAAATTAGTTCCTGTTTTAGCAATGGAAAATGACAGAACTTGTTTTCATCTGCTTGTCTAGAAAACAGGGCAAGTTTTGATTGAAATGATTTAACATGGTAATACATGTCATGTGCAAACAAACCATTGCCTTGAAGTTTATTGTTCAATTCATTTAACTTTTCAATAATGTCAATGGCAAACATAAAATCTAATTTCCATTGTTCATTTTTAATATTTGTAGTAAAATCAGAATTGATACTTTTCATTTCTAAAAAAAGAACTATTTCTTCTTTGAGAGCCCAGACTCGACTCAGTGCCCTGCCAAGACTTAGCCAACAAACACTGCAGTAGTAGAGTATGTCAGAATGTTCACTTTCCATATCTTCGAGCAATGTTTTGAACTGTCTGTGGTTAAGAACTCTGGCTCTGATGATGTTTATTACCCCAACAACTGAGTCAATAACATGCTTAATTTTCAATCCAACTTTACACAAATTTTCTTGATAAATGACACAATGAATAGATATAAGTGCATGATCTGGATGTTCTTCTTTTATTTTTCTGTTTATCAGTGTCAACAAACCTTTGTTTTTTCCAGTCAAAGCTCGAGCACCATCAGTTGTTACACTTGCTAATTTGTTCCAGGCTAATCCATTTTTTCAATACAATTTTCCACAGAATCGAATAAATCTTGGCCAGTAGTTGTGTCCTTTAGTGATTCAACACTGAGCAACTCTTCAGTAATTTGAAAGCAATTATTGATTCCTCTTATAAATACTAAGAGTTGTGATGTGTCTTGCATATCTGTGCTTTCATCCAAAGCAAGAGAGTACCACAAAAATTTTTTACTAGCAATTTGAAGCTGTTGCAACAAGTTTTCACTTATCAAGGTAATTCGTCTGACTACAGTTCTTCTTGATAAAGAAATACTATCAAATTTTTTTCTCTGCTCTGGACACATGATGTTTGCTGCATCCAGCAAGCATTCTTTGACGAACTCGCCATCAGAAAATGATTTACTATTTTTAACTATTTTGTGAGATAATACCAAACTAGCTTCTGTTGCAGCCACTTGGATTGAAGATTGTTTGGTAAAAACGTTTTGCTGTGTTTTTAAATTTTTAAGCAATTCTTGGCATTTCCTTTTTCGATTTTCATCTGAGAATTTGCTTCCAAAACCTAAATATTTCGATTGCTGCTGCCTTTTCAAATTATACTCTTTGAAAACATTTATGGACTCGCGACAAAATAAGCAGACTGCTTTTCCACCGACGTTAGTGAAATAATATTTAGTTGTCCATTCCTCATTAAATACTCGACATTCGTCATCTATTTTTCTTTTCTTGATAGCAGACATGACTTTTAAATACGAAACAAAAAAATTAAAAAAGAATACAAAGATGGCTTCCTCCTGCACAAAATTCAATTTTAAACAGTGTTGCCATTGAATTTGAAATAAAAGACTGAAAGGTTCAAGTTAGAATGGACCATATAGCTAGAATAAATATAGTGATAATGCGGCCCAGATAAGAGAGATTTTGTTGGAAGAAAATTTAAATCAGCCAACTTCGGTCAAGCGCCGATGTCAGCCCGACTGGAGAAGAGCAAATTTTGTCTTAGCTCGATTCAACATTTTTTAAATATCAGGAATGACAATTTTGTGATAATAATGACATTATTGTGACAAAATGTTTATTGCGATTAGAAATTTGTGCGTAAAAATTAAAAACTCAGAGGACTTCGCAAGCTTTTCAAAGCGGACTGAGATAATAAATACATAGAAAACTTTAAATTTTATTTTAATTTTTAAATATTTTTTTAACATTTTAATTAAAAATTGGTATTTAAATTAAAGATTAACAAGAAGATCAACTATTTAAAAATGAATAAAAAACCAAGGAATCGCTAATAGTCTATGTCTTGCTAGGCGGCCTATTAACAATTTAATTCTAGAATACAATGGCTTCAAATTAAATGTTTAAAATTCAATTCTAAAACATAAAAATTCATTTTTTATATGTAAATCTGAAGTGCGTACAAGGACTCGCGGGCCGCATAAAATGGGTCGGCGGGGCGCATGCGGCCCGCGGGCCGTAGTTTGCCAACCCCTGCATTACGCAATTGAATTTACACTTCGGCATTCTCGAACTAATCTGTTTACGCTTTCTTCTTGAATTGATGGATTATATAGTATAGAGAACTGCCCATATATGTAGAATTAAGAATGTAGAATAGATCTGCAGAACAGGTTGGTAAAATATATATATATGTATTCAAGTTAAGTTAACAGTTTCGTAAAATATGTATGTATTCAAGTTAACAGTTTCGTAAAATAGGTATGTGATCAGGTCAAGTTGTCTCTAGTTTCACTTCTGTTTTGTGTCTGTAAACATTTTCGTTCAAATGGAGGGCGCCAATGTAACCGAGTTAATTGAAGACATCAAATTGAAATTAGTGGTTAGTGCAATGGTTGTTAGCACAACGATCTATTTAACAATTTCCTTTTTGACATTTTATTACAAAAGTTTTTTAAAATTTTCTTTATTTCTTCTTGCAAGACTTAATTAAAAATTTGTTAAAAAATTTAAAATTCCATTTATTTATTTTAAAATTTAAATTTCTATATTATAGTATTATTATTATATTATAATATAGAAAATTAATTTTAATATTAATATTGAAAATTATTATAATATTATTATGTGTAATAATTACACTGTAATTAGTTAAATTATAAATTTCATTCAACCAATGATAAATTTTTTTAACAAATATGATATAATAATATATAATATATTATTTATTTATTATTAATAATTTTATATGCTAGATATATTTTATTTATACTTATAATTAATTATATGTATTATATAATTATTTAATAATAATACAAATATTATTTTATTTATTATTATTATTAATAATTATTAAAATTAAATTTATATGTGTACTCAGTTGCATTTGTAATTTTAAGTAAATTATTAATTAAAAATAGATGTATGTTTTTGTCGTTAATTTATTTAAGGAAAATACAATGACTGATGATTCACATATAAAATTTAAATTCATCATATTATTTGTCATTTTATTACTTTTTATTATTTGTTATTTTATTATTATTTTAATTTTTATAATAAAAATGTATCACACACAACTGAAAAATTGTTATTAGTTTTGTGGAAGTCTATGTCTAACCAATTTTGTGTGTCTTTTAACTCCTCGTTCATGTACGTAAAACTTACTTTTGATAAGAACTTCATCTTTTAGTTTTGTTTTATATTAATAGAAAAGTTTTCTATATCTCAACAGAAATTATCCTGTCCATATGTTGAAAATGTTGCAGATTCCTGGCTACAAAATTTGATTTTCACTCCTGGAACATCTCGAATCAATCTTCTGAAATGGCTTTTATCAAAGTTAGTTGTTGGACATTTTATTCTAAATTGCAAAATTGCACTATGGTATTTTTACAAAATTTATTAGCCTAATTAGTTATTAATTAATTAATTAATTAATTAATTAATTATAATTGTCAATCTAATATTCATTTCATCATTAGATGTGATATAGGGCTCTCTGAAATTCTTCATTCTTACAATGCAACAGATTTAAACCATTTTGAATCAGATGCACAAAGTTAGTGAATTGCAATCAGATAATCAAATACATTTTTTATATTTCAGTTGACTTAAGAAATTCACCCACAGCTGTTTACTGTAAAAGTAAAAATATCAACTGCAGATATTTTGTCCATGGTTTCGAGCCTAGGATTGTGTTTTCCTGGGGACATTGCCCTTGTTAAGGTAGCTCCTCTGTTTTTATTCTATTTTTCTCGGGAAACTTTATTTTGATTAAATTTATTTATACATGTTATTTATTTAGAAATTGCTTTTATTGATATAATGTTTTTGAACATTTTCTTTTTGATTTTGAATTTCGAAAGAATTTTTTAAATTAAACTAAATTATTGTTATGCATTGTTCAGGGAACAACAACAGGTCAATCACAAATGATCTTCACAAAGACATTAGTTGATCTGGCATCTGAACTGAACAATCCTGATGAGTCAGTTTTTTGTAACGTTTGCACATCGTGTCATTGTTTTTAATTCCAATTCTTATTAATTCTTTTTTCTTACGTAATGTGCTACAGCACATGATTCTTTGTTGTTGAAATTGTGACTGTATTAACAGGTTTGACAGTTGCACCTACACGAAGGGCAATTCATTATCGGACAAAATTGCCAATAGACAGCCAATAACCCTGTCTTACTGCAACAAATCAAATTTCCTCCCTGCAGACCTGCAGCACATTCTTGACATCAGGATGGCTGACAGGTTTCATATTTTTCAATGTCTAACAATGTCATATTAAAGAGTTTTATTTTGTTATTATTCAAATTTTCACGGAATGATGTTGTGTTACAATTTAGTTTGTATAAAATTTTCAGGTCTGCGAAAAATTCTGTCATCCCAGATGTGAATGAGTTGCAATCAAATTTGAAACAATTGGACAGCAGGATTGAAGCATTGACAAGTAAAATGAAATTAAATAGCAACCAGCCAGAGCAAGTTAATATGATTTGGAAAATTGTTCACTTGTTTATTTTTCCATTTTTCTAACTTCAACTGTTTTGTTGTTCAAAAAACTTATATAATTTTTTCAGTATAACTATTAAATTATTCCTTTTTTACATTTTATCAGTTTTAACATTTAAACCTAGGAAGCTATAAAGGCAAACAGTGACAAGAATGAGATGAAGCTTGTTCTATCAGATCTGAATATGATGATGGCTTCATTTGCCCACAGTTATAAAGATGTGATGCATCTGTGTCAGGCTGATAATACTAAAGAATATCATCAGCTGAATGATGGCTTGCTGCAGGACTTCAGTGAGAAAATTGAGAAATTAAATAACGTTGGTTCCTTTTATTAATTAGATCTTTTAAACACTAGACGTATGAAACTGACGTGGAAACTGATTAACTGGACATTTATGAACGATATTATTATCAACCCCATCCCAGGTACTCAGCTCATATGGACCGATCAAATGTGACATTGAGTCTACATTCAACCAGCTTACAAAAAGCACTACCGACGATAAAGGTTAACTACAAATTCATTTTTATTTATTTTTGCCATCCGAATTCTATTTTGTAAATTTGTTTGCAGATGACCTTAAGAAAGCGTTGGAAAGTCTGACAGAGTACAACAAAACTCTTGAGAGATCATTATTATATTCTAAATATACCCATAATGACTGATTTAAAAAATTTCTACTTGAGTTTGTACAATGTACACTTGTTTGTAAAAAAAACTTCATCTTGTAACCATCAGCTGTACGTACTTATCTTTCTTTATACGCTTCAAACGTTTAAAACATCCTTGGGACTCTTTCAATATTTAATTAACCCGCATTCATCTGGAGCTTTCTCTCTGATTATTCGATCATGTAAACTTTATAAGATTGACTGTTAGCAATTGTACAGTAATCAAAAGTTTTAAATATTAAAAATACATTTTATTTTTTTGAAAAAATATAAAAATTATGTAAATATGAAAAAAAGGCACAATTCATTCTTAGATGATCATGGTAGATTCGTTTCTTACGCAGGGTACATAAGTGGAATAAAAAAAGAACTGAGGATGGCTTAGTTTTTACTAACAGAAATTTCAATTTTGACCAGATGTTTAACTATTTACACGAAATTCATTCGTTTTTTATGCATGAATGCATTGAGAGTTACTTCAGAAAACAAAAAAATTGTAACAATGATTTTAAGAAATCGTTAGATGTGTAAGTGGTGTTGGTGTATTAAATTATCACGTAAGTTGACGACTCCAGCATAAAAACCACATTTTCTTACAATTTTGTTCGATTTAAAACGATCTTAAGGAACAATTTAAAAGTAAGCAATATTTGCATAGAAAAGTGTAAAATGAAGAAAATGTAAGAAGGTAAAACATACATATTTCACAGAAGTTGTTTCACACTCGAAGCTGTATGTATATATATATATATATATATATGTATATACGAGCACAAATAATTATATAAATATCATTTCTAATAATCAGGCAGGGAAAATATACCAAAATATCGATTTAACAGGATTTAACATAAAACAGGAATCATGATTTGCGAATAAAAATTCATGAAGCAAATCTCTTAGAAATTTAGAAAAATTAAATTTTTAAAGTGACAGGTTATAGAATAAAAATATATAAACCTAATGATGAAACTTCAACAAATAAATTGAATAACAAAAAATGTCATGCATTTATAGAGGCCAGGTAGTGATTGGAACTCTGGAGATCACTAATGTTGTTGTAGTTTGGCTCTGGGGAATCACTCTTTCGAGGGGGATTCAACGTCACCTCGATGTCGTGAACTAGATCCACAAACGATGGTCTTTGTACGGCACTTTCGTTCCAACATGCCAACATAATATTATACCTTTAACAAATGACGTTTCACTGGTTTATTAATAAGTTTTTTGAGAATTCAAATATTTAAAATCTATCAATATCATTTGTGTGCAAAAAAATTTTGAGTTAAATTATCTTATTTGTAAAGCAAAAGTGTCATGGTTAAATTCTTATTGGTACCACAAATCTTAATGATATTTGAGCAGTCCAAGTCGGTAGAATTATAGCTTAAATGTGAAACTAGTAACTATTAATTCAGCCTTTTGTGTCCACGGAAATAAAACATTCATCATTCTAAAACCTACCATATACCATTCAATCTATATAGATCACTAATAATATTTATATAGAGAGAATAATATTCTATTGAGATGAATTGACTTAAAATAGATTATTCCACACATTTAAATTTGGATTGCGAGTTGGATGACTGAAACTACGAACGCTTTCAAATATAAAAATCAACAAATAGCTTAAACATGAATAATAATTGCTCTAACACATTCTCTGGACAAAATTTCGGTCTCCTGAGTCTCCTCCCAGAAGCCAAGTAATCTCTTATTTCAAAAACTTCAACATCAGGATATGGAGTGACACCTCTGGTCATCACCTCCCACATCAAAACTCCAAACGACCACTGGTGTTGTTTTCAGATGAGAAAACATTTTAAACATTTCGTTTTGGTACAGAAAAAAGCTAACCATATTCATTGTAAATACAGAATAACAATAATAACAATAACTTACAACATCTGACTTGAGAGTGAAAACAAAACTTTCGAGACTTTCAAGAGCCATCCATTTAATAGGCAGTTTGGCCTTTTTATCTTTAGTGCTGTAATAATTTTTTTCATGGAGTTCATGGGACAGTCCAAAGTCAGCAACTTTCACCTGCTTCATTTCATCAATCCTGTAACCGGCCATTTTACTCGTATTATATCATTGGTACATTGCAATTTCAAGAATCAAACAAAAGTTCAACTGGAAAATAAAATCAAAATATAGTAAATGTGTACTTTCATCCAGAGAGCGGCAAAATAAAATTCAACAACCAATATAAAAAACGATGATTATAACGGAATCACATACATGCAGTTTCTTGCAGCAAGATCTCTGTGAATAAAGTTGATGGAGGCCAAGTAAGCCATGCCTTGAGAAACTTGGTGAACCAGCTGCAATAACTCTCTGGCTGTAAATTGCTGTATGTCAGAATGTACTATGGTGAGTATGATGACGAATGGTGCCGTGGTATAATGGTTACAGATCGATATTACAAACATGCTTGATGTAAACGTAGAAGTAATCAAATCCAAGCATTTTAGATAATAATCCTTTATAAAAGAAATTGTACAAACAAAGAAAACCTTTAAAATAAAAACAAAAAATAAAATAGATATGATACTCTGTTTGGTTCTTTAACGTATGACTTGAGATCTCCATTAGGCATGTACGGTAGGATGACCATAGGTTCCTTCTTATACCCTAGACAGACACCATAGAGGGAAAGAACATGTGGATGGTCGAATTTTTTCATCATAAGACCTTCTCTTATGAAACTTTCTGCTGCTCGAATGTTCATTTCTGGATCTATGAAAATATAAAGTCTTTTATGATGGGAGTGAAAGGGATGTTGTATGATGATTAGATTTCATTGATAGATAACCAATAACCAATCATAACAAAAATAACCATCAATAGTTTTGACGGCTACAGTAGTTTCTGTCTTCTCATCTTTACTCAACAATGTAGCGACATACACACTGCCGAAGTTTCCTGAACATAGTAATTGAGTTGAAACTTTAATAAAATTTACTTTAACAACGTTCACGGAATTAAAATTAAGTATTTTCCACTTCACCAATCCACCTTATCGAGCTCACCGACGTTGACTACAACCCCATTTGACCTCGGAATGAGAGGTTACCTCGGTATTATCTATATATCCTTTCTTTTTTATATCATCCGGATCTCAACAACAAAGGCTGAGCCAATAAATTACAAAATAATATTAAAAATATAGAAGTTGCCATGCCTTGCTTTCTACTTAGTAAACAATAAGAAGTAGATATAATGATAAAATCTCACTAATAACTTAACTAAATCTTTTCTAATTGGTAAACGCTGTTTTTTTTATTATCTAAATTATCTCAGCTGTAACTTCACTTAAAAAAACTAAAAAATTGAAATAAAAAAATATTGAAAAACACTGTGAAGTGTACAAGTAAATTGAACGACTTTGTGCTGCATCGAACAGCAGAACTGAACGAACAAACCACCTTGTCCTACGAGATCTCCAATTTTTAGACTGTCCCTTTCAATGAACAGTTCGTTATCAAATGCGCCATCCATCGATTTCAAAAGGTTATCCAAGTAACTTTCGTCATCTTCAAAAAATAACAACAGAGGTTTCAAACAGTAAAAATTTGAAAAGATAACAGAGCAAAATTAACGACGGAAAAACGTAAGTCGATTATTTATTGATAACGGAATAATAAAACACGTGCTCATTCATATCAGCGGCCTCTATAGTTATACTCACAAATAAATAAGAAATATATATTTTTTAGGAATTAAATGATCGATCGAACCCATGACATCGGAAGGAGGCACTCCGAGATTTGTGCTGTATGGATTCTTGCTTGCGTCGTGTTTGTTCGATGCTTCTCTCAGACTGGTCAGTTCGTTGGTGGTGGTGGTGGTGATGGGGTGATGGTTTTGGTGCTTGTGATGGAGTTTGTAGCATTTGAATATGAAGTATGCGACGAAGACGATGGTGAGGAATGCAAGTAGAACACCAACGAGCACGCCAATGAGAAGCGTCAGATCCATCTTAGGCTTCAGTTGGATCTTACCACACACCGTTTTGTACTTTCCAATGCGTAACTGGATGTTTGAAAAGAAAGATTAACTCAGGTTGGTTAATATTTTCAATGAAATTTCAATTCAAACTAATATTTGAAAAACTGAAAACAAATTTTTAACACTTTGCTAGACTTATCAACCGTTTTGTTTGAGTTAATTGATTCTACTTGTGTCAAACAAACTCTACAAAGTCTGCCAACAATTAACCGTCATATCCAGCAACTTGGAGTCAACAGCCTCATCATTAATGAGCATCTCATATTTGGGAAGCTCAAACCTCAAACTTTCGTCTGTTTTCACATCCAGGCTACCAATTTCGAGAAGCATTTCCGAAGCAAACAATTTCAGCAACGTGTTGTTTGAGCTCTGTTGATATAAAATTTTGTTACATGGTTACTATAAATTTATATGATGATGACGCATAACATAAGAAATGGATATTGAAACAAATGAAACCTGTCCAGTATTGAAAAAAATGACTCATTAGCTGAATGTAAAACTTATGTAATAAAGAAATTCAAAGAGCTAAATTGTTTAAAAAATCACATTTCTCAATAATATAAACTATAAAAATAAAATTTGAAACGTAGAAAGTAGCACAAATAGTGAAATAAGAAGAAACAAATAAAAAATACGACTGACCACGATGTCATAAAAATGATGCTTCTTGTCTGCTGGATAGAGCAGATAGGGATGTGGCAATGGATCGATAGTCGGTACCTTGTAGTACTTGATCTGCTTCAGTGGAAATGAGTTCTCTGAATATTTACAGAGGTTGATTAGGCTCGTGACGTTGCCAACGAGGATTCCAAAATCGAAGTAGGCTTCAAATTTGTGGCCCGTGTCGACAAGGGAGGGAGTGGGGCACTCAAGTGACTTGTTGCTGATGTTGCACACCTGCAGTTGGATATAATCAGACAGACTTCGGTCATCAGTTGTAACGTTATCGCAGCGCTAATGCACTTCATCAAATTCAACGAATGCATTGTTACAAAATTTACTTGCTGCTTAATTTTTATAATTCATCGTAAATCGTTTTTTTACTACAGTTAAGTTCAAGGTATCACACAAATGTATGCATACAATAATTTTTACATTCAATATACTGAATAAAATTTTGGCCAATTAGAGAAACATTGAATTTTGGGTTAGGTGATTGAGTAAATGATTTTTTGGTAATGTGAGTAAATGATTTTTTGGTGAGGTGATTAAATAATTAAACTGTTACGATGACTACGTACACTAGTTCTGTTTTCACCATTTTCAAGATAAACGATAAGATGGGCCGTGTCAGCAAACAGAGGATCAGTGAGTCTGAAGACCGTCTTTGTACCGCCTCTGTCGGTGGTTTGCACATTAGTTCATTCGTCAACAAATTTTCAACAAACAATTGATGGTTTTGACAAGAAAGAAAGTGAAATTGTTTTCCATTTAAATAAATAAACAAATAAAGAAACAAATAAATAAATACAGTTAAATTGTTGATGGAGGCAAAGATAATACAAATGAGAGCCTTTGCAACTAACTCGAAGAATGATTGGCACTTTTCAACCCTCCTCACCAGAGGATCATCAATGACAGATAGACTATCAGAATTGATGTTGATCGGCTGGCTGTCAACTATGAACTTCATGTTTCTGATGGGTCGTACAGGTTTCATCCTCATTACCATTCTTGTACTGTTCCGACTGTTTTCAAAGAAGTCATACAAATACAAAAACTGATTAAAAGAATGTTAACAACGAACGCGATGACGATATGATTGAGTTAGATTCCAATAGATTTTTAATTTTATGCAAAACATTGATGTATTAATTAATATTTAATAATAATATTTAATAACAATCAAAACAGCATATTTCAAATGTTTCATAAATTTCTTGAAGAGCAAAAATCATCATCGTCATATCTCGGCAAAGATAAAAAAAACTCAAATGTTTTTAAGTTTAATTAGAAGCCAATCATAAACTAAAGAACAATGACAGTTAATGGACATAATATTCAGAACCATACTCGGGAACGAACGCACAAGCATAAATCACAGACAACAACATACACAACAACACAAAAAAAAACAAAATACAAATGAAAAACTCGATGGTGGTCAAACAAATGATACAAAAGCTACCCACCTGACGACCTCGTCTGCCATTAAAACTTTATTGTCGTCATCAAACAATTTGACGCTGGAACCATAATGCAGATTGGAACCAACGAAAGTGACAAGGGACCCTCCTGATCTGACCACTGCTGAAGGGACGATCCTATCTACCACCATGTTCTGTAGGATCGTACCATCAACAAATATCAATTTACCAAGAAGTCATTCAAACAAAACAACTAGGATTTGTTTGTTTAATCAGCCAATGATGATATATTTTTACTATCTGATGACCTTGACATGGAAAATCTGCGTGGATAAAACTTTCTTAGTTCCCATATAAATCAATTCCAACACACCGGATTCGGCACGTTTTTGCGTATGCAAGGTGCAATCAATTCTGAATGTGGAATGTGAATGAGTGAAATTAAATAGTAAGTAACGCACGCACGCATACACACACACACGGCACACACATCATATATAAAAATTGTTCATCATTGTCACGGTCACTGGTTTATAAAATTGTATCAAAAACAAAAAATTTTTAAAAAAGAAAGATGTAAAAAAATAATTTACCAGTTTTTTTAGAAAATAAGTTTTGAATAAATTCATGCCAGTTTGTTAAAATATATTTGATAAGAAATTTGCTAGGAGTGAAGTAAGTGTGCTAATTTAAAAAATTATAACGTGTTAGATGGAACGAAACAACTTCTAAAGCGTGGAGCCCACAACTGAACAAACATTCAAGCGTTAAGAAAGAAGACAATTTGATCTATCCAACAAAAACATCACATAAAATATCGCAGGACTCTAATTGAAACAATTACAAAATTAAGTATTCATCTGCAATGTAAAATGTTAAAATACTTACGGAATAAATACTCAACAGACGCAAAATAATTTTTATGATACTAAATTTTCAAATTTTAAGAAGTTGAGACTGGAAAATAGAAATTGACGGTCGACCACCTTTCTCTATCGGCACTAATGACGGCAGACTGACATTTGTTCTCGTTAACTTTGATGTTGAGCTCACTCACAGGCATGTTGAAGTTTGTTCCTAAAATGGTTAACCCCGGCTTGCCTCCCAGTACAGTTCCAACTGGAGAGATCTAGTTATGACGATTATTTATAAAAGGATGTGATGATGATGTGGGTAGTGATGATGATGATGTGGGTAGTGATGATGATGATGTGGATAGTGATGATGATGATGATGTGGGTAGTGATGATGATAATGTGGGTAGTGATGATGATGTTCTGATGATGTGATGACGACGTGAAGATAGCTAATGATGATGATGATTATTCATGTGGTGATGATGGAGAAAATGTGTATGGCGATTGTGCCTCGATGTGGTTTTTTATTTATAAAATGGTGACGATGACGACAATGATGATGTATATGCATCGCACGGACACACATACGATGGTTTCACTAACAATCATGATGATGAAAGTAAACAATAAAAGATAACGTTGTTCGTGCTTGTTAATTACAATGATCAATGTGACACCATTACACACAATAGAAAAACATTTATACAAAATGTTGTGCCCAAATACAGGTTCATTAATTGATGCCTCTAAATAACATTCTCAATTTTATATAATACTTTCTATAAATACTTTTACAATTAAAAACTTTCTTGCTGTTGTCCTTTTTTGTCAATCAATCAATCAATCAATCAATCAATCAATCAATCAATCAATCAATCAATCAATCAATCAATCAATCAATCAATCAATCAATCAATCAATCAATCAATCAGTCAGTCAATCAGTCAGTAGATCTATAAATCAATTTATTTTTATAGCGTCAATTTTGTTGTGTTCAACGGCGCCCCATAATAAATTTAGCAACGAAACGGTTTTGAGTTGAGATGCGCCAACAACTTCGTAAATGTTTGTTTGAGTAGTAGTCAGATGAGAAAAGAGAGATGTTAAACTAATTATAACTGAAATGTTGCAGAAACTGTTGAGATTCATCAATACTATCCATGCCACAATCATTAACGGTAAAAATTCAACCAAGCACTGAGGTGCTACATGACATGAACATGATTTATGCCCACAAACATGTAACCGCAACAACATCGAGCATGCAATGGGGAATTGATATTGTCAAAAACTGACAACCCGTATGATAATTATTATTTTCATCGGTTTTCACTTGGCTCAACTTTTAAAAACTATCAAATTTCATTATCATCATGACGAAAAGAACTTATTGCTTTATTATTTTCTCTATGTACCTTGTCTAAAATTTAAAAGGATTTAAGCAAACTTTTTGGTGTTTCTCTTTATGAATGTGAAAAACAAAAAAACAACAAAAAATATAAATATGAAACGAACAGAATGGATGACAGGTAAATCGGAACAGGCAGGAGAAAGAGGACACAACTTGTCATGTTGGCAGGAACCAGTGCACCATTGGCAATCATACAGCTGTGTCATGTAGTGCTTGCATTTGCCGCAACTTGACGAGAGTTTGTTGCATTTGTACACTGCAACAACAATTCATTGATTTAACTTCCGGCATAACCATAATTCTAATAAAAGCAATTATAAAACTAATTTGTTTGACCGACAGTTGATGAAGACTCTAAATATTTTAAAAAATAAGATCGTCTTGAAGAATCCTAGATTTGAGCGGCAAAAACCTGTAATATTAGAGAAACCATCGATGTATCTTCGCCCATTATTAACGACCCTGTAGAATCTGATCAGTTGAGATTCCTCCGCCATGTTCGAACTGTACGTAAGCTGGTATGTTGTTGTGAATAACTCGTGAAATTTAACAAGATATCTCAATGAAATTTTACATTAACTAAGATTAAGTTGTTTAACAACATTTCGATTTCTTTTGCGATTCAATGAAAAAGATGCATGATTTAATAATTTAATTGTAAGTCATTTACAAAAGCTTCAGAAGTACTTCTTAATTATAATTATACTTTTTTTTACTATTACAAATAATAAAAAATTATACTTGGAATTAAAATATATACATTGTAATATTGATTAACTGTTTAAAGATAAAGCTACACTCAATTTGAATAAAATACCACGATCGTACAACACCAAAGCAAATATTTTAAAAAAAAGTTTCCATGAAAACCGTGACACGTTTTAAAAAATTGGTGTCAAATTAAATGAGGTCACAAACCCTGAGATTGACGCACGTGACCTGATTATTTCTGACGACTGACGGTGATGTGGATGGTGCAATGTTACTCCCAACTACTTCACAGATCAAATCA